ATATTCTCAGAAACCCAAAGAGGAGCAACAGATCTGAGGGCTATCATACATATTAGGGCGGTACAGTGGCTGAAATATTTGAAACTATTCACAGATTACACTGTGGATGACATGTTGAGGAAGTGGGGTGAAATTGCAAATTGCACACAGACCAAGTCAGTAATGAATGCGGCTTGGACTCCCCCACCTAGTGGATTCTTGAAATTAAACTTTGATGGATGCAGTAGGGGAAATCCAGGGCAATCGGGGATTGGAGGTGTTTTTAGGGACGAAAATGGGGTCATCTCTGCAATGTTCTCAGGCCCAATTGGAGTGGGTGATTCCCTTAGAGCTGAGATCTTTGCAGTTATGGAAGGAGTCTGGAAAGCTAAGGAGTTGAACATCAAGAAACTCATAATTGAAGGGGATTCAGAGGTGGTGATAGGGTGGCTGACTAAAGATCAAAATGGTTTATGGAAGTACAACAATGAGAGGAGGAAATTCATGTGGCTGGTGCGGGAGATGGAAGTTAAGACATGTTGGGTTAAAAGATTGGCTAATTCCCTAGTTGACGGTTTAGCTAAACAAGGGGCAGAAAGGGATTCACTGTTTTGGATAAGCTGTAACTTTAGTGTCTTCTTTTCTCTCTTTCTTCTTTTTTTCCTTTTATGAGGCTCTTTGTGGCTCTTGGAAGATAAGTGTGTTTGTCTTCCTCCTGTAAATTTTCTACTGATGATTTAATGAAAGTGTTATTGATCAAAAAAAAAAAAAGATGTTTGTTTGGATTTTGAGAATGAGTCAGCAATTGTTGACAGTTTCACTCTGCATACTTGTAAGGATACTGATATAGGGGCTTATCTAAAAAAAATGGGATACTGATATAGAGATCCAAGAAAGTCTTAGTTGCTAGGAGTTATCAAACTTGACCACTTTCTGAAAGCACTAATAAAAATGTAGAAGGATATTTAGGAAATTAACGAAAAGGTTGCTGAGGAGGACGTTCCACTGAGTGAAACTCATCAATTAAATAGAAAGAACAATTTTGAAGAACATTGTGGGTTCAGAAGGTCATGTTGCCATGTTGGTAAATATGATCTATTCTTTTTGGGAGGGGAAGATTTATGCAGAAAAAGGATAGACAAAGAGAAGTGGAAGATTTTCAAAATGCTGTTGGAGGAGATTTCAAGGTAGCTTGTTTATGCAGAGATACAAGAGCAAGTAGGGGTCATGGGATGGCTTATGTAGGGAGCTAGAGATACAAGAAATTAGAGAGAGTGAGATGAGACTTGGGAAAGGGTCATAAGGCATGCTTTCTTGAAACATTGCACTCAGTACTGCAAGTAAACTTATAGAATTTGCTTTATAGCATTAACACTTTAAGATATGTAAAATTGTATGGGTTGACAAATCATACTACATAGATCTTTATATATTAAAAGTTACATTTACATTATTTTAAGATACAAGTATTAAGAAATGAACTAATATTAAAAAATAATACTTAGAATTACACTTAGTTTAAAAAATTAGACATAAAAGAATGTTACAAGCATATAAATGGGATATGTTGCGTAAAACCTAGAAATATAGATTCGAATGGCACCCTAAAACGAAAGAAAACAGAGATAAAGAGAAGTAAGACAGAGAGAACACACAGATTTACATTTATAGCCTACATCCACGGGCGAAGGAGCAGAAACCCACTATGAAATCAGCAATGGAGAAGAATAAATATCTGTGCACTCACAACCTCACTCATAGAAAACCCTAAACCCCAAATACACCAAAAGTCGCTCGACTTCTCTCACAAACCAAAGACTACTAGACCAGTATACAAGAGAAAGAACCCCAAAATACACTACTCTTTGTATTCAGGCCTGACCCATAAGTTGAATATGGATCGGGTCTCTACTACACTTCCACCACAAACCACTATGAAATTTTGCCTTCGGGTTTTTTTTTTTCTCAACTTAATTCGGAGCTGGTTCATGAAGCAGGTCACAACAAAGAATACAAGGCACAATCATAACAGGATACCTATGATAAAATTAAATAAATAAATGGAATACCTGTACCTATATTGGGATCTTAGGAAATGAAGAATTGTATCCCTGTTTCCCATATCTGTTTCCATGTCCTTAGTCTGGTATCATGATATCTTGTCGTGAAAATTTCAGAGGTTTAGAAATGCTACTAATCAATTTAAACTCCATGATAGTTCTTGATTTCCATCATTTAAACTTGATAACTGATCATTTCTTTAACTTCAATTGCTTAGCAAAAAGGAAGTTCGAATCTCTCTACATTTAACTGTAATCAAAGGGACAATTAATTTTATTTTATTTTATTTTTTTGATTTGCAACGAGATGGGTAAAGGGACATATTATTCTATATGTTACCTTTTGCTCTTCCTTATGTATTTGTCAAGTTCTTTGCCTCTTGATTAATCCTGCTCTGGCTCAAAGTGGAAAGGAATAATGGTTCTATGATAAGCTTCTAATTGTAGTATAGGTTGTTCAATTGCTTGGGCTTTATTTTATTAGCACATTATACCTGATTTATTTTCTACAATGGGTATGGCACTAAACCAAATGGAATGGCAAAGCAGGGTTCATGTAGCTGTTCCCATATGGTTGAGACAAGGCTTAAATAATGATGATGGTGATTTATTTTCTACTAGTCAGAGTCCTTATTTCACACTTTTTTGTAATTCTTTATTTTTAATGGATTTAGGTCTGATTGGAAAGGTGGACTTCACTGTTAGGCACCTCTCTTCATCTGCAACAAATTTTCCAAATACTTGGGATTTTTCAAGTAGTCAGCCATGCATTGGAAGTGGCTTTCACCAGGTTCTACTCTATTGTACTCATCTATCATCTGGTTGTATCCATTTTTATATTTGGTTTCACCTTTTGGATATTGTGAGAAACTTTATGCTGCCATTTTCTCCTACTGTTGGTAATGTGTAAGTCAGAACTCTCCATCTCAATTTAGTGATTCTCAACATTAGTATTATAAACACCGAGGGAAAGGAAGAAATGGAAAACTGAACTCAGTAGTTTTAAATCCTCATTTTGGCATCATGTTTTGTTATTTATTTACTTATTTATCCATTTGGGGGTGGAGGCTGGAGGTTGACATGGTTACCATTCATGTTAAACATTTCTGACTTTTCCTGTATTCTTTGTTTTTTACCAGTGCTCTGCATACTCAGCAAGTGCTTCATCAGAGAAAACTTGGACTATGCGCACAACCTTTCCAGAATATGTAGTTGCTCTTGCCACCATTGTTGGATCAGTGCTTTTCTCTGTATGTCACACTTGCCAACCTTCAAACTTTACCCATCTGATTATTCTTGTGTTGATATGTAGGGGTGTCAATGGACCAAGTTTGGGTTGGACTTCGTCCAAATCAAAATCAATTTGGATGGGACGGACAAACCATAAGACATATTGAATTGGACCAGTCCGGACTTAATGGTTCAAAGTATTTATTGGATTGGATTGGACCTGGTCTATTTGTAATGGATAATGGATTTATATTGGACTGGGTCGGATTAAATCAATGTCCGATCCATTGACATAAGATAAGAGTACGGGTGTCAATGGACCAGGTTTGGGTTGGACCCAATCTAAATTAAAACCAATTTGAACAGTTTGGATGGTCCAAAGTATCCATCAGATTGGATTGAATCCATCTATAATGGACTCATACTGGACCGGATCAGATTGGACCAATATTAATGTGTTGCAAATCTAAGTGGGCTATATACAGCTCTCTTTATAGATGCTTATAAGCATCATAGATGATCATGTAAATATGTAAATAAAATAGGGTTAGTGTGAGAGGATCGTTTGTACCATTTTATCATATTCAATATTGGAAATTAATATTTTATTTGTCATTCTTCTGGGACTAGTATGCTCTAAGTTGTATGAAAATTTGCCTTTCTCCTATTGAAAGAATCTCCATAACCAAATAGTATCTTCACATTATTCCATACAGATATTTGGTGGTGTTGGTATTGCGTGCCTACCTCTGGGGCTTATTTTTTCATTCATTTGGCGTCCAAAGGCTGTTATTACTCGCTCAGAATATATCAAGGTGCTTTTTCCCTTACATTCCATTTAGTTTTTATGCATTTATGGATGATGATCTTATTGTGGATGTTGGTACTAATTTCCTGCAGGAGGCAACTGAGCTGGGGAAAAAAGCAAGAGAATTGAAGAAGGCTGCTGATGCACTTCATCAGGAAGAGAGAAGTGGTTCTAAGGGGAGAAAATGGCGTAAAAATGTTAAGACTGTTGAGAAGGTAAATCTTTACTTGATAATAACTTAGGGGCTGTTTGGAAAATCTTTTTTGGAAGATCTTCTGGAAGATTTGACAGTCAAAAGACGTAGTGAGCTTTTGCATCAAGATCTTGACAGCCTGAAGACTGTTTGGTTAAGGCGTGTCTTTCCGCGCGAAGACGAGTTGAAAAAAACCAAAAAGCTCCATTTGGAGCTTCTCGAAAATAGCCCAAAATGGGCTTTGTGCGTCTTTTCGGCGCAATGTCTTTTGGCGGCTAGATCTCTGAACCAAACGGAAAAAGGCCACAACACGATCTGCCGGGCTTCTAAATAGCCGACAGACCACGTGGAAAGATGCGCCAAACGGGGCCTTAACATATGAGCATTGTTGAAGGCACGATTTACCATCTAAGCTGTTGTACATTTTTTACCTGTTTGACTTGCATTGCTTATTAATCCCAGTTGAGATTATATCTAACTGCTTAGATGTTCATTTTGCCTTTGTTGCTCCTGCATTTTGCAATCATATACTCAATGAATTTTCTCATTTAATTTGGAATTAATCTAATTGTATTAGTTTCTCTTGTTCCAAACCTGTTTCTGTGGATTGGTGAGTCAAATATTGGTTTTATTATTCCAAGTATGGTAAACTGTAGCTTATTCCATGGCTCCATGCTGTCTTAATTTTACAGGAGTTGCTTCTTTTGGAAGATGATGTCAAGGTTTTGGAAGAGATGTATCCACATGGAGAGCAGGTGATGGCCTTATTTTGTTTTTCATTTACGTATATCACATATTCTTTCATATAAATTAATGGAAACGTCTCATTTTACATTGAAAAAAAAAAGGTTTTTATATGCTTGAACTGATACATGTACAAGAATACTTATATTCATGGTTTTTTTGGTATTCTTTGTGCATCTCACTTATTTGTATGAATTATCCAGGCTGAGACTACTTGGGCTTTAACTGTTCTTGGGTACTTGGCAAAACTTGTATTGGGAATTCTAGGGTGAGTTCCCCCCCCCCCTTCTCTCTCTCTCTCTCACTAAAATACCCCTAATTTTGAATTTGGTCCCTTTCTATTTGTGAGGGCAGAAATGTAATTTGAACTACTACTTTTCACCTCATTCAATTCTTTCTCATTAAGTCTTATGTTTAAGGTATTAACTTCCATTCCCACTCATTAAATCTTATATTTAAGGTATTTTCCTTACCAATAAATTCTGCTAATTAGATCTATATCCAATACTTTTAACAATATAAAATCTTTGTTGTGTGTGTGTTTTTTTATTTTTCAATTGGCCTAAAAGCAAAACCACTCTTCCATCTAGATGGTGGGTAAGCAATTCAACCATCTAGGTCAAATGGGTTAACCCATGATGTCAAAGTTAAATAATAAGGTTTTTTAAAATAGAAACAAATACAAAAAATTACAAAAAAAATGTAGAAAATTTGGATGTCTCTAATATTTTATTTTAATCATATCAAAGAAAAATAAGTGTGACAAATAATAATTGTTTTATTGATGATGGGAATGAAATACAAAATTTAAAAACGAATAAAAAATGAAATTGTTTTCTTGTTTGGACATTGGTGGTGGGTCAACAATTCAACCTTTTGGATCAAATGTGTCCACCCTTGATGTCACAATTAAATAATAAAAATTAAAAAAAAAGATAAAAAATACAAAGTTTTATCTAAAACATTTGGAGTGGTGTATGCGTACATACATATTGAAATGGTGTATGCTATAGTTCATTCTTTTATTTTATTGTAGATGTTACCGATTTATAAGTAGGACGAAGCAACACATAGCTTCCAATGGTTAATTTATGTATTATTGTGGCAAAATGACTCACAATTTCAGTATAACCTTAGTCTATACGCAATTTCTGCTTTCCAGGTTAATTGTTTCAGTTGCTTGGGTGGCACACATTGTGATATATCTATTGATTGATCCTCCTCTTTCTTCTTTCCTGAATGAAATTTTCATCAAACTGGACGATATCTGGGGTATGTAATGAGTAAATCTTGGGTGTATCTTCTTTTTCCTGCCTCTTTCTTGGATATTCATAATCTGACTTGTAGTTTGGGCTTCATAAACAGGCCTTTTGGGTACGGCAGCATTTGCCTTCTTCTGTTTCTATCTTCTTCTTGCGGTGATTGCAGGGGAAATGATGCTTGGTTTAAGATTAGTTTTCATAACCATTCACCCCATGAAGTAATTAACCCTGCCTAATTAACTTGTTCAGATTTGCTTTGGCATTTACAGGCTAATGTCCATTCTTTTTTTTTAACCCCTTTTTTCCAATTTTAATTCAATTGATTTGGGTTCAGGTGGGGAGCAACCCTCATGAACTCGTTTCTTTTCAATGTGGGACTCATTCTCCTTTGCTCCATCAGGTTTGCTTGCTCGACTCTATACAGTCTTTTATCTACAAATTGAAATGGGAAAAGTTGATGGATCCTTCAATATTTGATTCTTGACTTTTTCTGCAAAAATACATTTGCAATCTAAATGAAAGAACTGATTTCTTGATTTTCACTTGTAGATCTAGAATCATTTCAATTAAGTAATTTGAAGTTGTTCGTGGGATTGTGAAGAAGAGAAACGTGAGAGAAGAAAGAAAAAAACTTGGGGGGGGGGGGAAGTAGTGGGCAAGCAGCCTCCTTTATTTATCAATAACAATGATCAAAGGAAGGCATACTTCCCTAGAAATGGCCTTTTATCTAATGAAGTGCTTGTCCACTTCAATATACTTTGTTGTTTATCAGTAACAATGATCAAAAGAAGCTTTATTAATGATAGTTAAAAACTCTTCTGTTTTTTCTGTTTTTTTTTTGTTTTTTTCCTTTTTTTTAGCAGTAACCGATAAATTCATTTATTAAGAAGGAGATAAGCAAATATGTACAATACAAAGCATCACTTGGCAAAGAGAGTTATCCTTCTTACCATTACTACATAGATCCCTTTACATTTTGTTTGCTATTCCCTGAAACAAATCACTTCTGTTAACCCCTAGCTTGGGCTAAACCACCAGCCATCTATTTGCTAACCTAGGAATCCAAGAGAAAGCATCTCTATTCTGCAACCAGAGATTATATTTCCCTCATGGCATATCTGAATCACCATGCACCTATATCCCCATTCTTCAACCATTCTCTTCCCACTATCGAGTCTCCCTAAGGATTATGAATTTAGGCATGCTAAGCCCCTGTGAAATAGTGATCATTTTTGTTTTGGTGGAATCCCCTATTCCTGAAGGTCCACAGTATACAGCCACTGTAGTTCTAGTTGAGTTTCTGAGTACACTGGGTGGGCCTGGGTTGCCAAAGCTGCAACTATCAACATTCATCTTTAACCAATGATCTTTGTTCTATCATGCTGAACTGGATTATGCACTATTAATAGCAAGAAAATTTTGGCTGTGCATTTTTGACAACCTTGGCTATCAATAGGGCTCTCCCTGCTTGACACATTAGTTGACCCATGCTGGATTTGGCACCGTCATACCGGGTCTTTGTGAACTAACATGTCATACATGGATTTGCTCCACTGACAGCCTATGCTATTGAACTTGGACAACCAAAATTTTAACTCCCAACTCATCAAGAATAGAATGCAGCCTCAACCTCTAACATCAAAGATGCCTCATGATTGACTAGGATAGGCATGCCATAGCAATGCTCTACTAACGCCTAATGGGCTTAGACATGGTGTTGCTAATCAAACAGGCAACATATCCGAAAGATATCTTGTTTGCTTCACAACCATTCACAATCATCCTCTTGGATGCCAAATCTTGAAAAGCACAAGGGGCAAGAAAGAAAGTCAGAGAACTATTTAAATTATTGGTGGGACTACTTAGAATAAAGACTAGTGTTTGGAACATAGGAATGGAAGATAAAGTATCAAACAACTTGACACTTCATTCCCCAGAAATAGAAGAGATGCGTCTGCTTATATCATTTGTGCTATAAACACCTTATCCCTACCTAAACATAAATGAGACAAATGAAACATGGAAGAAGCACTGTTCGTATGATTAGACACACCAGTTTGCAATCCAGGGAAAACATGGATTATCTAAAATCGATATGTGATTGGTAGTGGCATGAGTACTAGTATGTGCAAATGTTATAGAACTAGAACCAGTACTAGAAGATGTAGCAGGTTGCAATAGTAGGTAAAGGACCCTCAACACCACTCTTCAACTGGCTCTTGCATTGATTGTATCTTTTTACCTCTTTGGCAGCAGAATCCCAAAATATGCATATTCTTATATATTATATATAATTTTATGATATGGTACATATACTATATATTTTTATGTATAATATAACTATACATGCGAATCATAAAAATATATAACTATACATGAGAAAATGACAAAACTAGCATTGGTTAACCACATTGAACAAATAACAACACCTCTTTCAACATTTTTGAAGGTTGCAAGTGCTAGAGATAAATGTTGTTTTCAATTTCAATGAACCCCTCAATCCAGATATCTATCGACACAATCAACCAAGAACTGCTCAGATTTTGTCAGTAACATTCAAATATCAGATCAGTTGTATTAGAGCCCATTGTTGTCATATATTTGAAACTACCAAATTGTCTTTCACCAAGTAATTGCTATTATTTAAGCTGCTTTTTTTATTGGGTTAATTGAATCTATTGTACGAGAAATGCTGGGTAAATTAATAATATTTGATGTTTATTAGCAATGGTTTTTGGTCTTTTTCTGCTGCAGTGTGATTCAATTCTGCGCAACGGCGTTTGGTTACTATGCTCAGGCAACTGCTGCTCAGGAAATATTTGGACACACATTGCAATCTCTTCGTGGAATTAAATATCTTTATAAGTAAGTTACATTTTACAGCTAATCTATGTGCTTTCTGAATTTTTCTTCAAATTTATACCGGTTAGATTGGTAATATTGATGTTCTCTTTGCAGATATAATGTGTTTCAAATTGCATTTATTGCTTTGGCTTGTATAACATTTCTTTACTATGTGGCCTTTGTAAGTTACACTACTCAGATGTTCTCTTAAATAGATTTATTGTTGGATTTTCTGTACAGCAAAAATCTAGACTACTTACATCTTTGAAATTTTCAGGGATGGAAAAAGAGAAAACCAAGTGGCAGGTTTCATCTTTCCACTTGAAACAATGGTGCCTCCTGGAAGAGAATAGGGCTTCAGGACCTCAGAATTCTCAGAGCTTTATTTCATTTCGCAGTGATATTCATATTTGGGTGTTCACGGCCTGATTTTATTTCCATATGTTGATGTCAAGTGAAGTAGGCCATCTCACCCAAGTGTAAATTGGTTGCTACAATTCAAGTAGTGGTGGCGAGTGCTGTTACTGCTTCCACTCTCCTTGTACCACTTTTCTCTCTTATTTTTCTTCACCCTTCTATGTAATCTTTCATGGTTGATTTATTGTGCAAGTTGACAAGGTGCTTGCGATGGCGATAACTTATAGGGGGATGTGGGACTTGGGTTTGGAGAATCACAGCTACTGTAACGTAGATCTATCTGTCAGGAACTAGATTTCTTTTTTGTATGTGCGGCTGATCAGTATGTTCATGTATATGTACAAATGAGAATGACTTTGTACTGCAATTCTTTTTAAGGTTTTGACCAAGGTTTAAAGAGTTTGGGAAGATGCATATCGGGATATTGGGATTTAAGAATTGATTGGGTATAGGTGTAACGAATAGGAGGATACACACGAACGACAGTAAACTAGGGAAACTCAAAAACACCTCAACACCGAGACTGATTACCAGAAGGAAACGCATAAATCTGAACTCTGAAAGATGCACCATGTACCTTAGTTAGAACCTGCATATATGCCAAGTTGCCAACATTCCTGACATACCATTTGTCAATGATCTTGCAGCCTACATCACAGATTCTTCTGTGCTTCGTTTAACTAATTATTTAAATTTTAAACAATGAGTGGATGAATGCGGCTCTGGTTAAAAATAAAATTCTCTATCTTGCCATTTTCAGACATGCAACTTTTTTTTTCCAGTTTACAGTACAGTTTGGGAGAGTTAGAATTTGCACTTCACATTTTATGTGAAACTAAAACAATTTGGTTCTGGGCTTCTCGCACAATTTGCTATATCGGTAAGAAATTTGAATACTTGGGTTTCAGGGAATTAGGTAAAATGTGGTGACAAGTAATAACTGATACATATTTGAAGGGGATTAAGGGAGTATCTTCACCCTTTGTTTTATTTATGCGTCTCCGGATGCAATTGACAGGTTTTGGCCCGAGAAAGATCAAACTGCATCAAACAAGAGTTGAGGCATGTTACAGGATTTCTGCATATCTTGCTATTCGGATCAAAATTCAGATCATTCTTGAAATCTTTGCTTCATTTAAAATGTGAGATCACAATGCGAATGGTACAAGAAAAACAAACGTGAACTCAAATTGGATGTATACATGTAGTCACCACTCACTAAATTTCTGGTTGAGAGCCACCCAAATTTCCAAGAAACAATGACGGAGTGAGGGATATCAAAATACTTTCTTGGGTATCATGTGGAAAGGAAGGGGCAAAACCACAATATTGGTGCCCGCTCAATTGTACTAAGTACAAACCAAGGCCAGCATTAGTTCATAATCTAATGTGGGCGTCTTGGCCATCTTATCAGCATTTGTTATTTTCAATAGAGAATAAGTTTTGATGGAATGATCCTGAAGGATCTTTAGATTTGCTGATGGCTCTGTGCCCTTCAAAATGTCTCGAGTGTTGGTTTTGTTACCATATTTGTATTTCCTGCTTATTGGTGCAGGTAGCTATATCATAGGGTTTCAGAATGTCTTGTAGAAATGACCACCATGAGATCTCCACGCCTACATATTTCTCACTGATCATCAAATTATTGACTAGAAAATTACAGAAAACATTGGGAGAGAGAGAGAGAGAGAGAACTAAAGGGGCTGCGCTTACGTCTTTGCAGCCTTGACATGCTGAACTGTTTCGTCATAAATGGGATCCGGAAACAGTTTCTGTGGATCACCATTCTGCTGATGTACAATCTGCTCTATTTCTTTAGTAGGAGAATTCTGGGAGTTCCATTCATCTTCTTGTCCATTGTAGGTGGTTAATAACTTGGTTGCTTCAACAAGGGCAGCTTGGAACTCTTTATGCTCTACTGACATCCTGAAGTCAGCTGCTGTATCTCTTGTTCTGCAGCAGCCCATACAGTGTATCTTCCTTTGCAACTCATTATTGACTCTCTGAAAGTGCAGGAATAACTCATCATCATTCTCTCTAAAAATGCAGGAATTGAAGTACGAAGGCGTTAAAAGGTTATTTCTGAAGTACGAGTTTTTCAATTCACTTAAAACTAAGACATGTTTGTTGCCTATGTCACAAGAAAACAGGCAAATGAAACATATCAACATGTTAAGAGACTGTTTACAACTCATAGTAAGATTTTTTTTTAATGTACCATGACCATATCACTTACTGAGCCATATTTCCTGTCATACAGAATATTTTAGAGGTCATATAGTGGAGTATATGCTCCAAATAGCTCTACTTGCAGAAAAGAAGAGATGTGTAGCAATAGCGTCACACTGCTCAGTATCTTGTTTAAGGAACAATTCAGAACATCACAAATACATATCCAAGGAACCAAGAGTAATTCTCGTCCTTTTGACTGGTATGTTCAAACATTGACAGTAAAATATGTATTTATCCCTAAACTACCTAGAATCTCCATGTTCATCTACAGGACCAGTAAAATTTGCTGCAGGGTGGTACAAACCAGAATTAAATACTAAAAGATGCTTTGAGTCCATGGCAAGGCACAACAACAATATGTGGCAACAATTGGATATCCTCTTTCCAAGGGCCCATACCTAAAATTCTATCTGTAGCAATGACATCTTATGTTTCAATCGCACACGTAAGAAAAAAAAAGGAGCCCTTATACTTCAAAAAATCAATATATCATCATCATCCATGTTATATATATATATATATATATAGAGAGAGAGAGAGAGAGAGAGAGAGAGGGGGGGGGGAAGGAAGGAAATCTGATAGCACTTTTTTCAGGACCGATGGGGAATGGAGACTCTATAAGGGCTGAACTGTTTGCAGTCCTACAAGGTGTTCAGATTGCAAAAGGGATGAACTTGGAAAACCTGGTGATTGAAGGGGATTCCAAGGTGGTGGTGGGCTGGTTAGAAGACCTGGATTCAGTGATATGGTGCTATCGAGACGAAATGAAGAAATTCAAATGGTTAACTCAACAGATGAGCTTAATTATACAATGGGTGGGAAGGGAGGCAAATACTTTGGCTGATTCATTAGCTAAGCAAGGGGGTTCTTGTCTTTTCATTATGAGTGAGGCTGCATCCTGTTCCTCCATTGGGGAAGCTTGTAACAGTTGCTTATTTTTTCTGATTTAATGAAATTTTAAAGAAGCTTTTACTTATCAAAAAAATAGATAGATAGATAGATAGATAGATATATATATATATATATATAGAGAGAGAGAGAGAGAGAGAGAGAGAGAGCACCTCATGCATTGGAATGCTGAATGCTTCATCCAAAAATTCTTAAAGGAGGGGGAGGGGAGAGATGATCAAAAGGTGAAAAATATCAATCTGCTATTATTTAAACTACAAACAACATGAAACAACCTAATTGATTTATCACGAGGAATTAAAATTCAAGAATTAGATAAAAAACGAATGAGGTCAATTGTAACCTGAGGTTAAACATTGGCAAAAATTATGAATCAAACTCAACTGAAAAAAAAAATAATAACACATGAAGATCGAACCCTAACTTTAAGATCTAATCTCATTTGTGTACTGGTGAAAGAAGAGGATTGAACAAGCATATTAATAAAGTAGCTTTTTCTTTTAATCACTTTGCTAATTATATGGAAGAGAATTTTTTGTGCTTATTTTTGGGAGATAGGGGAGAAAGTCCAATAGAAGTGAACTGAACTGTTCATGCCAGAATTTTCCTTCACCAAAAAATAAATGTTTCATGCATGTAACAATGGAAATCCTAAAGAATACAAAATCAATAATGAAAAAAGTTAAATCCCTCTTGAATGATCCCATTCTCAATGTAAGAATAATTCTGTCCAATAGAAGTGAACTAAATTGTTCGTGCCAGAATTTTCCTTCACCAAAAAAATGGTTCATGAATGTAACCATGCAAATCCTAAAGAATACAAAATCAATAGTGAAAAGAAGTTATATCCTTCTTGAATGATCACATTCTCAATGCCAAGAATAATTTTGTCCATTCATGAATCAAGACCAAAATTTGTAATCCTTCATTATGAATCATTATAGATAATTTTTTGATTGCTTCAACATCAATGTAATCAACACAACATCCCTTCTATTGCTTTTTTATTCTCCCCCACTCCCACCTCATCATCAATTGTTGTAATCCTCCTCCAATTTAACAGTTCTCTTAGGGATAAAACTTATTGGAACAAACAATTTATCCCTCCCTTTAATTCATTAAAGGGGAAGAAAGACATTATGGAAAGTTAATAAGGATAATAACATCAACTTAACAAAGGACGTCAATGTGAAACTAACATTTCTGAACAAACTCAAGAAAGAACCTTATAGGAATTATAGTTAGTTATAATTATTGTGCTCCCTCCCATTTCTTTTTTTTTTCCCATTAATGTGAAAATAGTTGCTTAAGAATGTCAAACATCCCAAGAAAGGCATAAGCAATCACAGCACCTGTAGGCTGTAGATGGAAAAGTAGTTGCACAACAGAAAGTTCATTTACACCAACAACTTGCCTGACATTACTGTACAAGCACAGTTGTCCTAGGATATTGTCATTACCGTACAAGCATAATCAGCCACCATGACAATGAATTTATGGCAGATCCCAACATTATACTCATACATATGAAATTATTATCATATTTGTCATAATATTGTCATTATTGGGTTATAAATAGTCCTCATACTATGTTAGTCTTCAGGAGATAAAAAGGATTATGCAATGCCAGACATAGTTTGAACACATGACAGCTAAAACAAGAAATTAAAGTGTAGAACAATTGTGGAAACAAAAGTTGTGATTTGCATATATTCTAAGAATTCTTCTTTTTTTATGAATAGCAGAGAATTTTCATTAAAGATTAGAGAAAATAATACAAAGTAGAAGGGGAGAGGTAAACCCTCTTAACCCTCCCCTAGGGGAAACAACAAACAGATTATAATGTTTTATTCCTCAAGTTTTAGGTTAGGTTAGTATTGGATTGTTTTATGCAGGTTTACTATGTTTTATTCCTCAAACTTTCTTTAGTTGTACAGCAGGTAGCTCTTAAATTTCTGAATTGGTTATCTTTAGGTTGTATTAATTTTTATTTCAGAACAAAGCGTAAACAAGTTGCTACAGAAGGTAATTAGTTTTCAAAGTAGCTTATTTGTTGCACTCCTGCAGTCCTGCCTTCTCTTTGTTGGGTTTAGATGATATTTTGAAGTATACATATCATCTGGTAGTTTTTGTTTTTTTTTTTTGATCAATAACTGCAGGATTTATACTAATGTTAAAAAGATATATCTTACTCTATATTTCTTTTTGAGCTTCTTCTTGAGTTAAGGATAACATAGATAAGGCTGGGGTTGGAGTAACCATGACATGTACCAAACCTGACACACTGCCATCGCTATGAATGGATTCTATTTCAGAACATGAAGGATTATTTTGAGACAGATCTTCCAGAGTGGAATATCATATATATCTTGAAAAACACTGTTTAAGTTAGGATCTGGCTGTTAGGGCCACTATATATATTAACAGATTTTTTACTAGGGAAGCTTGCTATGTTGTGTCAATTTTCTCAAAGAATTCTTGCTTTCAATACTGACCCAAGATTATAATTCTAGTCCTACCTTCCTTACATTGTATTGTATAAAATCTTCAAATGCATTAATAAAGGACTTGTAAGGACAGATTGATAAAAAAAAGGACTTGTAAAGACAGAATGATAAGAAAGTATAAATTTGATTCTAAGATGGCTGAGGTGTGCAGGGTATGTACCAGTGATTGCATATGTGATAGAATTAAACTGACAGAGTATGAAAAGCCCATAGCTAAAGAGACAGAAATAAGAAAATGAGTAACAGACCTGCAATAACCTTGAGTCAAATTTGGGAAGTCCAATCTGGCCAACAGTCAGCGAACCAAAAAAATTACCCAAGAGTGCAGCATCCGGCACAGGCAAACCCCAAATAAACCCGACAACGAACCCGCCTAAGAAGCTGTCCCCAGCACCCGTTGGATCAATCTGGGAGGCTGGAAATGGGAAAATCTGCAATTCTCCATCCTTCCAGTAAACCCTGCAACCATCCTTCCCTTCCGTGACAACCACAGCACACCATTTCCGTGCCTCTTCAATATCAATATAAGGCGCTTCCTCGGCCGAAGCCTTCAGAAATCCAATGCGCGGGAGGAGATGAAAGAAGCCACTGTCTTTCAGCTCAACAAGCTTGACTGTTCCATCAAGAGGATCAAACACACGAATGAGAGCCTGGATGTCAACAAAAACGACACGACAGATATCAAGCATTCGCTCCAAAGTCTCCGGCAATATCTCTCCCGCAACACCGACAGCCAGCCCAAAATCAAACTGCGATTCTGGAAGATCAGACGGTGAAATGGGATCGCATGCATGAATCCGTCGGAGAATGCGATCTTGGTGCCGACTCGAGTCTCGGTCGGAGAAGAAATGAGCATGAAAGAGGGTGGTCATCGACGACGGAGACGTGATAGGAGGGTGTGAAACAGAGTAAGCAAAGTCGGAGCCGACCTTAGAGACATAATTGCAGGGAATGGAGAGGCCGTCGAAGACGTTGGAAACAAAGGAAGCCGCACCTCCGAGGCTCTCACCAACGACTCGACCATCCCGGAAAAGAACGTCATGGCAATAATTCCCGACTACCAGGCCACGGCGAGTGACCATCTCCGGTTCTCGCTGCTCTCCTATGGCCATGGCTGATACGATCGGGAAAAGAAGTTAGAAATTGAGATTGGCCTTCGTGTCCGCAGTTTTGGTATCATCAGTGCTCAAAAAGAGGTGGGGTTAGGTTTTATGAAAAAATGGAGAAGGGAGAGAGAAATGAGTGAATAGGAAATGGCAGAGGGATCCCGATTCGTGTAGGCGAACGTCTGATACAGAGACGACAGCGAAGTCTACAATCTACATGGGTGAAGGAGGGAGAGGAGGAGGTGTGTACGTGGCTGACTCCATGGCGAAAAGTAAAGGAGATGGAATCTGATTTGATCTCATCAAATTGTCAATGGAGGAAAATGGAGTATCTCCTTGTTTTTTAGGCTAAGCTTTATATATTCTCGCTCCTCCATTGTCGAAAGCTATATAAAGGTTTTCTTTTCCTAATCGTCATCATCAGAAGAAGTATCACATCTCAGAGTGGTGGGGGACCGGGGGTGGAAGAATAACAAAACAATCGGATTTTGATAGGGATCTAGACTTGCTTTGGGCTGCGGAGCGCTGGCGCTGGCGTGTCTATTACGTGGAATCTGCTCACAAGTCCCAACAAAAACTGTCCCAACAAGATGAGCAGATCCGAACTCGTTGCTGATGGCCAACTGTCAGTTATTTATCCAATTATAAGATTCCACGTATGTTTTACCTCAGGCGTATTTGGAGTTCGGATCTTCTCCTCAGAGCCCGTTAAAACCACACATTGAAAATAACTGCCGTTCTTCTATATTCTCCTCCTCACCACCGATAAAATAAAATGCTCTAAATACCATGATATCCGAAAAACTTTTGACATCAACCGGTAGCCACTATGGTGTTATTTGTCAAAATTCAAAATTCATGGGTGGGTTTTGATTGATCAAAACTCTTCTCATATCTTATCTTTTTCTTATTATAGATTTTCCCTTTTATGGGTATATCAATGTTTAAAAAAAGCACCATTCGGTAAATGGATGGCCCATTTGACAATAAAATAAAAAGCGATAAAAAATCGTTAAACATGTTGAACGGATGAATGATTTGACCATCTGGGTCAATGAGTCATTGATCAATTTAATGATTTTTGGCCAAAAATCAGATTTGAGGTAACTAAAACATAGTCCATTGCTTGGATAATTCCCAAGCTGAATAGTCTGACCATCCGGGTATTGGGAACATGCTTTTAACTCTCCTATATACCCCACAATACATCCCAAATGTGTATTGAGAACATCTCCATAGTCCCATACTTGTCATCCCAATCGTGGAGAGCCACCCACCCACACATACCCTACAATACATCCCAACCATTTATTGGGAAACCTCTCCCATAGTCCCATAGCTGTCATCCCAATTGTGGGGAGCCAATTTGAACCCGTGACAACCATTGCAACTATACATTAGGAGCATCTCCCTTGAGAGTTTAGATCTCCTATCAACAAAAACCCCTTCCATCATAAAAACCCCTTCCATCATGATCTTTGTATGGGACCCACTATAAGATTAGGGCTCACCGTGCATGTAATTTGTGAACACTAATGATGATGAGGGCAGATTTGACCCTCCATTACATCATGACACATGGCATCGTAGAACAATTAGATGACATTCCAACATCACCTAGGTGATGACTTGCCTTAGACAAAATGATGGAGTCCCACTTGGTGACCTGCCTCCGTTGCCAACCTGGACCACAATTAGGTCCAGGTGGAAAATGCTTGAGGATGCCATTGATAATTTGCTGGAAGTAGTAGAAAATAGAAATTTGACTTTTAGTCGCGTTTCCCACAAACGGTACCAATTGATGATGCACATTTTGGTAGTTTCCGAGTGACAAGTGGCTCAAATGCCTAGCTGAGCAATCCCTACTTGGAATGTAGGTTGGACGCCTAGTTAAATGGTTCATAGTTGGAAGGTGGCTCAGACGCCTTGCTGAATGGTGACGAGTTGGAAGATGGTTGGGATGCCTAGCTGAACTGTCCCTACCTGGAAGGTGGATCTAACACCTAGCTGAACTATCCCTAGCTAAAGGTGGCAAGCTGCATAGTTTACTGGTGCGACCTGCAAGGAAACAGTGTCAGAGTGCCCGGGCTTCTTTACCCGAGGTGGGCACTCCGATGCTTAAGTTAGCGAATGCGGAGATTTTGTGAGAGAGCTGAAAGTGAGATAGCTAGAGAGCTATGTTGTGCATCTCGCCTTTTGCGGTTGGAGGTAAGGCCTTTATATAGGCATTGCTTGGCGTGGGCATCACACAATGCGTCCAAGATCTCTGGGAAGACGTGCATAACTGGTCCGAAGTCCTCGGAGGTAGTTGTGCATGTAGGCCGACTTTTGCGCCTTATACTCGGTTTCCTTCGGAACATTTGGTGTGAGAACTGACTTCCGAGAGACCCAGGAGTGACGGGATGCATGCAGAGTTGGTCAGCAAGAACGTCTCGCAGGTCACCACCTGGACCTCAATCAGGTTGGCAAGCCTTCGAGGGATGTCGCTCCTCACGTCGAGATCACTTTGGCTGGTACTGATGAGGTACCATAGGTCGGCCCTGGACGAGGTGTTGCTAGCCACCTTGAATTGTGGACGAGGTTGCCAGCTAGATTTCCACTAGGTCGGCGGTGGAGGCAGGTCGCTAGATCGGCGGTAGAGGCAGGTCACCAAGTCGGCGATAGAGGCAGGTTGCCAGGTTAGTGGTAGAGGCAGTTCATCAAGTCGGCGATAAAGCAGGTCACTGGGTCAGTGGCAGAGGCAGGTCACCAGCTGGGACTCCATCATTTTGGCTAAGGCAAGTCGTCGCCTAGGTGATGCTAGGATGTCATCCAACTGTTCTACGATGCCACATGTCATGATGTCAGTGGAGGGCCAAATCTACCCTCATCAATTGTCCCCCACTCCCAAGCTAAGATTAGCTCAGCGAAGGGAGTAGCTTTATTGTAGGTCCTTTGGCCTATTACCAACATATTTCGAGGTTTGGCTTCCTCTTGTAATACGTGTGTCGCTGTTGGCATTTGAATAGAGGGTCGGTGCCACAGTTGCTCTGTGTCAGTCCTCGGAGGTGTTGGTCATCTACTCCTATGATAAGCCACAAGGATCTGAACTTGCAGGGGTAGCTCTACTAACTGAAAGTTGCCAACTTGCACGGGAACCTTGAAAGGCTCAAACTGCAAGGGCGATTGCAGTCTATTGACCGCCGACTCCCGTAGGATCCGCGAAGGGCTCAACCTGTAGGGGCGACCTCGCGAACAGGGCTAACAAGGCTCGTTCGGGCTGATTACGTGTGTCGCCAGGTCAGCGAATGTAGGTCGCCAAGTCGGTGGAAGTAGGTCACCAGGTTGGCAGAGGCAGGTCTCCAGGTTGCCAAGTCAGCAGAGGCAGGTTTCCAAGTCGCCAGGTCGGCGGAATTTTGACAATCTAGTTTTGCTCTCAGCACCTCGGCCAACAGACACCTCGTCACCTCGGTAGGACTGACCTACGAGGGCGGCTCCACAACCTGTTGGCTATCAACTCACACATAGAGCATGGAGGGCTCAACCTGCGGTCTGACCTCATAGTTTGTTGGCTATCAACTCCCACGGGAACCACGAAGGGCTCGACCTACGGGGTGGCCTCACATTCTGTTGGCCGTCAACTCTCGCAGAGAGCATGTAGGGCTCGACCTATGGGGGTGGCCTCACAGTTAGGGAGATTCTATCCAGGCAAGACTGCTAGAACTCGTCTGGGCTAATCATTTTGATTTTGACCCATAGGGGGTTCTTTCGATCAAGCGTTGTTGTTGTTGCTTGAGGATGCTATTACTTGAGGCTCAGAGAATCAGGTGAGAACTTAGCCTTTTGTAGCGTTTCCCACAGACGACGCCAATTAATGGTGCGCGATTTGGTTGCTCCTATCTAGAAGGCAGCTCAGACGTTGGTTGTTTGATAGGCTGGTCGAACTATAAGACAGATGAAATTAGAGAACCCGGGGTGGCTAACTTGGCATGGTCTCTCCGATGCTTAAGTTAGTACTTCGTAATGCGAACTGAATGTAGTGGATGTGAGCTAGAAATTGTGAGTAAGAGCTAGAATGCACAATCGCGTGTACCTGGGTCTCAAGGGTTGATGCCCTTATATAGCTGGGCTACCATGGGCCTCACGAAACACTCCCGAGATCCTCGGCCCAATCCGTAGGAGTTTGTTCCGCACTAGAAGGTGGATAACGTGCTAGCCGATAAGGCCTACCATGTCCATTCGATTCGGGCGGGATGAAAATAAGGCCTACAGTTGCATGGCGTGATCCTGAAGGGCTCGGAGACAGCTAGCAAGCTTCTAGAAATCTGCTACATGTTACTTCGGCAGGTTTGGTCATCCCGAGATACCCAAGCTTCGGTGCTATTCGAGGTGACCAAGATACCCGAGGTGACCCAACCTGGCAAGGTGGACGAGGATGCTGAGTCACATGTCTAGTCACTAGGTTGCGTCCACGTGTCCGCTACTTACTAGGTCGGGCCATATCACCCCTCATCAAATGTGTTGGAACATGTTGTGGGCCTTGTTCGTTTTTCCAAAAGCTATTTCTCAGGGTAAGTTTTTCCCAAGTAACACTTTCTTGGAAAACGCTTATTCGGATAAGTGAATTTACTTGTATTTGTTTGATTTCCGGGTAAATTATACAATGACTCTTTGATCCATTGAAGTCATTATTAGAATGGACAAAATTGTCTCAAACATGTCTTGTCAACTTTTTTCCTAAATGGATAACTTATACATTTGGAGATGGGTATGATACCTGTTTTTTCCATGAGTCATACATAAACATGAAAAAAGAACAATGGGAAAAGTAGTCGATGGAACCACAATCCCATTAACCCCCCTTCAGAATCTTAAAAAACGAACAAGCTTAACCAAACATAGCCTTAAGGTCAAGGGGTGTATAGAGATATTGAAAATGAAGGTGAGTTTGAGAGAATTCTTCAAAGGTAATGACCTTATATTTTAACATATATTCCATACATATGTTATATGTATAAAATATAATTTAGGGAACTACTTAAATGCCCCTTGTAGTTTCAAAAAATTACTTATATTGACCTTTCGAAGCTTAACTCTAATAGATAAAATATAAAGGACAAAGGTGTCCTTAATATTTCATTAAGTTTTTAAAATACGCCATTATTGCCACCCATAAGTAGTTTTTCTTCCTTATGTTTTCCACAAGCACATTTATGTGAACACTCATCATTATAAAAACACCATGCTTTCCAAATAAAACCACTTTCAAATCACTCGTTACGGGTCCAACAAACTCAATTACAACCTTTCGTTACAAATTTTGAGAATTAGATTTTGATACTCTCTCAATAAGCACAAGTGGATTAATGATAGCAGTACAGTTATTTGACCATTCAAAACAATTATTGATTTTGATGGGGAGGAATTTGTTTTCTCACAATTACATAGGTTCGTTTTCCCTGAATAGGGTTTTAGGTGGTTGAGGGTGCAC